ACAGATAATGGTGCAGTGTCCGGTCTTTCCTGATCCCTCCTGCCATGTTTGGGGCCCCGCTCTGTCCCTCATGTCTTTTGAAGCTCACCACTGCTTCCTTTGTGACGCCCTGTTGGGCGACCGTGGGGAGTTAACACTGACTTTCAGCCTGGGGTGTGTGCCCCCCACGCCCCGCACGGGGCCCGTCACAGAGCAGGTGCGCAGCAGACATGCCCTGGGAGATAACTGGAAGGAGGCAGTGACACCTAACACGGGTTGGGGGGGTGGAGAGGGAGGGGTTCAAGCTCAGTGGACAGGTGGAGGCGGGTAGATGGGGAAGGTGAGCAAGGACCCTCACTATACAAGCTGCTTAAAGGCGGCTCCTCCTCCCCATTACTGCAGAGAGAAAGCCTAACCTTCCAGAAGTTTCTTGGACTTCCCTCTTCCCACGGTAGAGCAGCCAGGGCCACGTTCACACGGCTGCCCATCCCCAGCCAGCAGACCTGCGCCGGGGCCCCCACGCAGGCGAGCACTGCAGCACCTGTTCCGATGTGGGCGTGAGGAGCTCAAGGAGCAGGGCGAGCACCCTCTCTATGGAGAGGAAGAGAGAGAGAGAGAGGGAGAGCGAGAGGGAGAGCGAGATGGGGCTTCAGTCAGGAGACTGTCAATGGGCGGCTTCTCTGGGGCTTCCTGCACAGCCGCGCTGAAGGCTTCTGCTTCCGGTGCATTCTGCGTGGACAGGGCGGCTTCCCAGCCACCCGCAGCCACCTCCCCAGCCCCGCTTGAGCCCCTTCTCTGCCAGTCGGTTGGGACACCGTGCAGCTCCGGGGTCAGGAGCGTGGGCCTCGGAACCAGCTTGCTTACGTTCCCGGCCCAGCTCTGTCACTTTGTGAGCCACTGACCCTGTCATTCCGGGTCTGTGAAATGAGGCTGATGATAAAAGTACCCCGCCCCTGAGGAACTGAGGGTTGGATGAGCTAATTCGAGCGAAGTACTGAGCTCATAGAAAGAGCCGGATGAGTATTAGCCGATACACGGCACACACGCGATAAATCCATTCTTCTGAAACACTAAATGACTTCGCTCGGAAGAGAAAGGCAGATGAAGACAACAAACACTGTTGCCGTCGGAGGGGCAGAGACACGAGGGCTGACGCTGCGTGGGGGAGGGTGCGGGGCGGCGCGCGCACACGCGGGCCACGGAGGGCGGGCGGCGTGGCGATACGCA